GTCGGATCAGTTCTTTTAAATCAAATATGTGGTGCTTATATTTTATATCATAAAGAAACAATTTATACAAAGAATTAAATAGCAACGTTAATGGGATTAATGGTGAAACTACTTCGCTAACAGAACTTAATGAGGCATTAACTTACTATCGATTCCTTGAATAATAAGATCCTTATATTCGAGTTGTTGTCAGATGGAAGAGGCATGCCAAGTACTTTCGACAATTTCAAATTGTCATCTTCAAGGCGCAATTTTCCCATACATAGGCAAACACTAAGACGAAATATGTGTAGATGTTTTGTTTTTTTATTTGAATTATGCTGTTTATTGACAGCCCCAAAACAGGGATTTAGCTTTTAATGGCTATATTTTGAGTTATTTTGAGGGAAAAATAAATTAACTCTGTTATATATGCTGCAGACAGGCTACTTTTCATTGTGTCAAAGTGTCATTATGTCAGTGTTGTCCCATGAAGAGATATACTTAAATATTTGAAGAAATGTGAGGGCTGTACTCACTTTTGTAATACACTGTATATTCAACTGTCAATAAATAGAATAATCTGAATTCAAAACCGAGGAGAAAACAGGAAACAACTCCACTATTTTTTTTGAAGAAGTCATGAGAATTCAGAGAAAATATAGAAAAGGAAGCTGTGGAAAGCCATGATCTTCTACATCTTAAAGGAAATTTAAATTTCGCATAGATTCCCTTGGGAATGGTATTAATCAATTCCTTTTATTCACAGCTGCGTTTGGTTGGTTGATTTGTTTTTCACGGTTTATCAACCCTTTACAGGTTATTTAAAGCCAAGAAATATGTTTATAGTCTAAGAATTTTCTTTTAGAAAATAATGATTTAATAATACAAGTCTAACTAATTAACCCATAAGTTGGGGGAAGAGCTGGATTTATACCTTTCACAGGGTTATTTACGCGCAAGTGAATATAACGAACCCAACATGAATTGGAACTCTGCACTCTGATTAACAATTTCAACAACTTAAAAATTTGCTTGGCTCAGGGTGAAATGATAATTTTTTTCCTCAAATATTATATACAGTGTGCGATGGATAAATTGTCGTCTAAATTACACATGAATGAAAATAACACTGATATCTCATTTTAACAGATTGTTGTGGATTCCGAGATGAAATCCGGTCTCAGATGAATGACAAACGCAGAAATGAAATATAGCAAATATATGTATTGACGTCATAATACAATTGGTAATACGGTTAGTAGATCCAGAAATGCGGTTAGTAGCAATAATAATATATATATATACAGTCTGTGAAATTCAGTATCGAAGTATGACTTCCTTCTGAGTCTACGTGCTCGCAACTGTGACTCCTACAAAGCGGTTAACTCACACTCTTAATCTCTCACTGTCCACTGTATCACTCTATCAGTGTATCTCTCTCTTCTGACGATATTCAGTCACCCCCGCCACGAGGGCGTCATGTGGCACAAGGCCTTTTTAACGTGGGCTCTTCGAGCCCGTGGGCTCGGCCAAAAACATGCCCATTGAACCCGTATAAACGGGTTCAGGGTCAGTTTACCTCCCCGAAAGAGAATCCGTCCTTCGGCGTAGCCTCTTTCGGGTTCCTCCCCGCCTGAAGGCAGAGAGTTCAACCGAACAGTCGGTTCAAAAGTGAACTACTGACTGACTCATCTCTCTCTTCTGACTCCCGGGTATTCACGGCAGCAGTACAAGTACACACTGGGCGAGTCCAGTTGTATGAAAAAGGGGTGGACCCCATAACACAGATATAAAGGGTGCGACAGATAAATTGTCGTCTAATTGATGCAAAAAGAAAAATAAGAGTGACCTCATTTTAACAGATATAGAGGGTGCGATAGATAAATTGTCGTCTAATTGATGCAAAAAGAAAAATAACAGTGACCTCATTTTAACAGATATAGAGGGTGCGATAGATAAATTGTCGTCTAATTGATGCAAAAAAAAAAATAACAGTGACCTCATTTTAACAGATATAGAGGGTGCGATAGATAAATTGTCGTCTAATTGATGCAAAAAGAAAAATAACAGTGACCTCTTTTTAACAGATATACAGGGTACGATGGATTAATTGTCGTCTAAATTATGCAAAAAGGAAAATAACACTGACATCTCATTTTAACAGATATCTTTACCAAAATGTCACAAAAATATCTCGAAATACCAAAGACTAAATTTATTCCATAAAATCGCCATTGGCTTCAACCCCGGCCTCCAGACGACTTCGGAATCTCCTGCAACTTCTCTGCTCAGTCTCCTTGTTTAGGTTGGTGAATGTTGCCAGAATCCTTGCCTTCGGCTCATTTTGGTCTCCCGCTCACCTGCTTCTCACACATGATAATCAAGGGGGGTGCAAGCTGGGGAGTTGGGTGACCAGATTTAAGGGGTAATGTTGTCTCAGAAATTGTCTGACAGTCATGATTAGGTTCTCCAGCGTGTGTGGCATGGTGCAAGTCCTGTTGTCAGATATAGGGTATTC